CAGATGACAAATAATTTGTCAAAATAAAAATGCCCAGTGAGACAGATAGAAAAAGAAGTTTCAAGTTAACTATGTTAAGATTGTTCAAAATAATGCACTTATGTAGATACATAACTTAAACAAAATAGTTGGTGTTATACAAATCTTAGATAGGTACTTATTATTTGTTAAAATAAAAATGCCCATTTGGACTGATAGAAAAAGAAGTTTCAAGTTAATTACGTATATAGATTGTTAATAATAAAGTAAGTAGGTACAGTAGTTAAATGCAATTATTATTGTTGATTCTACAAATCTTATATACCTATTATTTGTTATAATGAAAATGCCCAGTGAGTCTCACTGAAAAAATAGTTTCAAGTTAATTGTGTTAAGATTATAGAATTTTTTAAATGTTTTTAAATAAACAATTTCTGTTCATATGAATAGTTTGATTCAAAACCTTCAAAGCAAGTATACAGAGTGTCCCAAAACTCAACGATAACTTGGGAACAGAATGTTGCCTAGTTTGTAACTACCCAGAAAAAAATATTTAAAAAATCGGAGTCATTTTCTTTTTGTAATACAAGCATTTTAATGAAAAATGTTGAAAATGTACGCCCTGTACCCCATTTTTAAGTACTACAATTATAAATTTGCTAATTTTGCTGTTCTAGTTTTTGTAACGGTAACCCGAAACAGCCCAGCTAATGAGCACAATGCCAAAGAAAGCCCGAATTACTCTAGTAAACTCTAGATTCAGCACTAAAAAAATATGTATTTAATTTTTTCTTGAAATTTTTAGCAGATTTTTTTTCAAGGTAACTAACACCCCATACAAAAGTTTAAAGAAGTTCTTCTACATCACTATCCGATAGTGACATGGACCTTTCTTTATTTGTGTTGAAAATGAAATGTGGCGTGACGCTTTTGGTGACACACCGGCCGCCTTCGTGCCGCTGTCCCGTCCTGAACTACACTCGGGATTGCTGTGTGGCATGCCCCGGCACGCATTCGCTTCCCGCAGGTCCGCCCCCGAAACGCTTTTCCCGCTATACCGCGTCTGTGTGGCCTGACCTTAAGGGAGATGGGCCGTAGCAATAAATATATCAAATAAATATGAATTTATATTAGCCCTCGATAATGTTTTTAGTCGTTGTATTTTTAAAGGAAAAATAAAAATTCACGTTACTTTCCAATACGTACTTTTGTAATGTAAAAGTTGACCTACGAACCTACCTCAATACATAATACTGTGTATTTTTATAATATTATAAAAACCGAACTAAAATCGAGCACCTCGCGTTTACTTACAAAAAAACACATTAACATATCTGTTATGCTTATAAATTAAACTTTTATAAGTTATTAACGCCAGTTAATATGAAACCTAAACTTATAACAATAATTGAGCACCTTCTTACGGGTTATTGATTCGGCAAACTTTGGTCGGAAATTAATACAAAAATGTGACCAAAGTGAAGCACTTCGCTTTTATTAATTATTAATTAGTTATTACTTTACGTCATTCGCAATCAATATTTCGACATTCCATTTCACGACTACGGCACTGCGTCTGGGGGATTACTTTTATGAAAAGGACTCTAGTAAGTTCGTAAAAACTACTTAAATGTTTGGAAACCGCGATAGTAAAGTCTAATTACTGGACACGGGACAAGACGAAAAATTCCGGGACATTCTCGGATTTCCCGGCCGTCTGGCTAGCCTAGCTCAAACACCAATTGGGCAGCTTTTTTAAATGCTATTTTTGAAGTTATACCGATGACGTAAGGCACAAGTTTCAATAAACCGCCAAATGTGAAAAAGAACGAGAAGATTTATTTATATGATAATGAAAGTCGATCGCATTATTAATTACACAAATTCCACCAATTATTAGATATCGATTTAGAAGGATTATTATAGCGCTATTTATTAATGAAGGGTTCGATCAGGCCGATTCCGATAATTTTGTTTGGAAGTCACCGCTCAAATTGGAAAAGATCGAGATCAAATGGTTGGTCAAGCAAAAACAAAAAAGTCTGAAACAATGAAAGCATTCTCTTTAAGATCATGACCGGACACGATTGCCGACCCCATGTCAAGGGTGAGGTGTCATTTAACCCCCGAGGGATCTGGTTGTGATCCTATGAATGCAATCACACAGTCTTGCGCCGCGGGTCGCCCTGCATTATGCATTGCGATGCGCCGCGCGCCACCGATCGAGGGTGTAATGGGGCCTTAACTAGGCTTACTATGATTTGCATTTAATTGTTTTGTTTATTTGTAACTGTATAAATGGGTATAGATATATTTAATGGTATGCTTTGTTTATTTATCTTATTATAATCCATGCCCAAAAATCTCAACGTCTATTTTTTATTTGTTTGGCCATCATTTAAGTTGCGATCAACCGGAACAGAGAACAAGGGTTTAAATCAAGTTAAATTAATCTTCTTCTGGTTTGCCTAATATGAAATTAAGGCCCAATCAACAGTTCGTATCCATTCTTCACAAGGCAAGTGGATTCTTGGAAAGAAAAAACTTTGATGCAGGGCCTGCGTAAACCTGCGGACCAGAGCATCTCCGAGGTATACTTTAGCGTGCTCTTCTTCAACGCCGCAGAGAGAAATGCTCCGCGATGTCACGAGGTCGATCTTGAGCATTGAAGTTTATATCTTATTTTAATTAGAATAGCAATATATATTGATAAATTTAATGCCCTCTTCCCGTCCGTTCGGTTGGCACTGGCTCTGTGGAAGGGTTGATTAAGTTAAGCCAGTGTCTACATATTTTCTGGCTGTTGTAATCCGGTGTTTTATCGTCGTCGGCGACGCGTCGGCGCGGCTGGCGTGGCTGCTCACTGCGAGGTCACCTCGCCGAAGCCGCGCGCCGCGGGGGACCGGGATATTGCTCTCATCTCAATGCACCGCCCTCACTCTCTATTAACCTCGGTCGACTCGGGCGTGGAAAACCTTTTTCTGTGCATTTTAACAAGATAACTGCCAACCGCCGCCGGGGTACTCACAGTAACGTATCAGTTAATATGTTAAAATACATACTTGTAAGTGATTATGTTTTCTAAACTATTGATTCTTTAAAATAACACAAGTTAAACAAACTGACTGAAACTTTTCCATACAAGACACCAAGGGTACACCACCGATATCCCCACACTGACTCAAAATGTTTTGACTTGCCTAAGTAACACTAATGTATGTATATATTTATACTGTATCTAAATTCTTTATAGTCGATGTAAATTGTAAGCGCGTCAGTTTACTATAGAATGTAAATAGCAAAGATCTACATTATTAGAAGACAGGCGTAGCATATACACAGTTATGTGCGAACTTAGTCCAGATCGCTTCACTTTCCCGAAACGCATATACGAATTTTCACAAGTAGGGAAGAAGCAGAAGTGGTGGTGGGCGGAGCTGGGCCAGCGGCCGCTGCGTCACTTCCGTCGCGAGGCGCGCGCTTCCGGCCGCGCATCCGGTCGCGTCACGCGCCCTTTCAACCTCTGCTTTCAGCCTATTTATTGCTATAAGCTTTGGCCATTAGTCAGCCAATACAAGTGGCTATTAAAACCGATATTGGGTATTAATATTTTATTGGTGTGCATTTGTGAAGTGATATTTAGGGTTTTATTAAATAGGTCCTTCAAGGTTTAAAAGTAGAAAATGCTACTTGTATTGTTACATTATGTTGTAGCAGTGTTTACATGTTAAGGGTTAAAATATCCAAAGTAAAGAAACGCTTAAATAAGTACTTTACCAGTGTACCCGTTGCAACCCTTGCTATAGTAATGTAGGTCGTCGCGAGTGCAATCACTTGGCGCGATGCTTTGGCTGACGGCGAGCGAGCACCGCCGCTTCCAGCATCTTTACCACCACGGTACTTATTTTCCGCTCTTTGGACAAAGGATTAGTTGTAGCTTCTCGGTAAAACACTATTCATAACAAGCATTTTGTTTGAGAGAATAGTCTTGATACAACTCCGGGAATCTCAGTACAGAGTGAAAAAAAAACCGACCTCAAAAGTTCGTGGAATCACGTCTATTTGGCAAGTCTTATTGAAATCGGTTACTGGAAAGTGCGCGAAACCAGATTCATCCCCTAGTTTTCCACCCTTAGAGGTGGAATAATTTCTTCAAATTTAAATGGGATCAATACTGAGGTATATACCCTCTTTCCACTAAAGAATCATTCAAATTGGTTCACAAATGCCAGAGTTATTGCGTAACATACATACAAAAAAAAATTAAATGGAGAACCTCCTCCTTTTTTAAAGTCGGTTAAAAATAAACTAACTATTCTTGACAGTCATCTTCACAAAGTCACAAATTGATTTAAGGGGCAATGTATAAGCTTCTATAATAAATAAGATTCCGATTGATATTCAAAATTTCCCATTTACGAGGTTTAAACTATAGTGAATCAAAAACCTTATACTAAAGGTATACAACTTCTGCGTACTTGAATAACAAGAATCCGTGGTAGTGACCCGTTTAGCTTTTGCAGGTAGTCTCAATCTAAGATGTTTGAAATATTTTATATGTTAAATGTATTCAAATGTATATTTAAAAGAGCAACCCCTAGAGTCCCTTGCTCATTCTTCCCAGGAGACTCTGCCTTACGAATGAGCAGTATACATAGTTTAATTAATATGGCGATTTCAAGTTTAATTTGCTTACCTGTGAAATAAAGCTGGAATTCCACATCATCAGATTATATGAATAAATAAATAAATAAAAAGACTTTCTTTATTCTTCAACAAATAACATACAACAATATTTAAGATAAAACAATGCTTCAATCTATGTCGAAGAAAAGGAAAAAGCTCCAGTAATTTTCGTTTTCAGGCTTCACCTGGCAAGTATTCGCCGCTGGAGACACCGTAGCATATAGAGACGTAGTACCTACTGTCCATTTGTCTCATGTTCATTTTTACTCCAAACCACAAAAGTTGCAGTTGAGAATCAAATAGGCAATGTATTAATGCGATGTTGCTTGTTGCAGACCCGTACGCGGCACTGAGTTGCGCGCGCGGCGGTGGGGGCACGTCCGGCGCGGGAGGACAGGTGCAGCTGTGGCAGTTCCTGCTCGAAGAGCTGGCCAGTGGCGCGCCCGGCATTTGCTGGGAGGTAATCTACCTACTATGTTATGTACAGTCGATGCCCACATACCTGACCCCACTAGCCGACTTTTTGGTTTTGAAAGCCTTCTTCTTACGCATTCAGCAGAAAAATGTAAAGGAACTTTTGATTGAAACTTGTTTGTTTATGTAACGTAATTAAAGATTAAATTGGCTTAAAAAGTTTCTGGAAACGTCATTCGCTAATGTTGCAATAAGGAAGACACTATTAATAATTGTTAGGCTTGTGACTGTTTGCTAGTGGTAGTTTTTGTGCAAGGCTTTTTTTTTGTTAACTTCCATTGGGTTTGAGGGAGCAGGGCCAGTTACGGTTTGATCGCGTCATGTCGTATTTTTAAATACCTACTCCATAAGACACCACCCGTACATCGTCGATGGTTGCAGAGATTCAGCATAGAATTTTGTATGGTGGCCATCTTGTATTCGCCATATTGGAACATCTTTGGGCCCGATAGTACCTGACTAGGGTCCTGGACAATTTTCGTGTTAAAGCCATAAACCAATCTATGGTGTTTAATAAACACCTTTCTTCAAACTAATCTACTCAGAACCAAATAAACGGTTAGGGGGTCAGGGGGCCTACCATAACCTTTCCAAAAACAATCTTATTTCAATGTAAGCTTAAAGTAAGCTTATTATAATATTACTCATATTCGTACTATGATGAACCTGTCAACCAAGTAATGTACTATTGCAAAAGTGATGTATGAGGTTTCGATCGTATCTGGAGTTGAGATCTCAGGTGGTAGCTGTAAATGGATATGAATCAAAAGAGTAATATGCAGATTCCGGAGTTCCTCAAGGATCTCTCCTGGGACCTAACTTATTTTCAGTTTTCATAAATAACATATCCAATCATATCAAATATTGTAAATTTTCTTTATTCGCCGATGATCTCTAGATATATTTACCCATTAATTCATTCTCTGATATGGCACTACTGCAAACAGACTTGAATAATGTTGAACAGTGGTGTCGTTCAAATGCAATGGTACTTAATATAAATGAATGTTTTTATATAAAATTCACCAGAAAAGCATCTCTGATAAACAGCCACTATACTCTAGGTGGTTCAAGCTTGTGTGAGGTAATGGAGGTAAAAGATTTAGGTGTTACTCTAAAGTCATTTTTAATTTTAAATTTTTTATAGGTCATTTTTAATTTATTCTCTAAACAATAAATTAAAAATAACCACCCACATAGATAATATTGCTAGGAAAGCTGGGAGAGTGTTGGGATTTATTAAACGCAACTCCATGGGTTTTAGTATAAAAACCAAAATTACGCTATTTTCAAAGTCAAAATCAAAGATTATCCCTGAGAAGAACGAGCAAGAAACTCTAGGGATTGCTCTTTTCAAATAAACTTAAATGCTATACATTACATAAATATGGAAAACACGTTGAATCAAATTTGTGTGGATTCTGGAGCCGTGTCGTCTTTCCATACATCTTTATCTAACACGTAGTCTTCAATTTTGTAATATAATTTTTCGATCAAAATATTTTTAATGTACTTTTTAACCGTAAGTCAACCGTGACCATGGGACCTGTAAAGGGCCCGAAACGTCGGTTTGTTTGAAAAAACAAATATACGCGATTTAAATCCGGAAAAATAGTTTCATTTCCTATGTACTTTTTAAACTTAGGAAATGATAAACTTAATAAATGCTCCGGAATCTTATTGTAAAAACGTATATAGTTCCCCATTAAAGAGTTGTTTATCTTGGTTAAACGAAATCGTGGTACCATGAGTTTGGACTTAGCTCTAAGGTTAATATTATGGATATCTTCTTTCTTTTTGAAATTATGTATATTTTAACGGGCATATAAAATATTTGAGTAAATGTACTGTGATGCCACAGTCATGATACCAGATATCTCCTTAAACTTTTCTCTGAGAGAAACCCGAGAGCCTAGACGGCACACAGAACGAATCGCTCGTTTTTGCAATAGAAATATGGTTTGAATATCTGCCGCTTTACCCCACATGAGAATCCTGGAGGACATTATACTACGGAAGTTACTAAAGTAAACTAGTCTAGCAGCACTAACATAGGTAAGCTTACGTATTCTTCGGACTGCGTATGCTGCGGAGCTTAATCTGCTGGCCAGGGAAGATATACGTGGAAACCATTCAAGTTCACTATCTAAAGTCACTCCCAAGAAGACTGCTTTAATGATTTAATGCGCTTGTACGTTGTCACATAGAATACGCGAGTATTGCTTGGAATCCTGCTTACGCTGTGCAATCTCAGCGCCCGGAAAGCATACAGCGCTCCTTTACTAGGCATATTGCGTTTTATAGCCCAGACATCTCCCACAAACACCCATATGAGAATAGTCTAAAATTCTTTAAAATGCTGTCATTATGTAAAGGAGGTAAATTACTTGATCTTTGTTTTCTACATAAACTATTTAATGGTCAAATAGATTGTAAACAAATTATTGATAAAGTGGGTCTCGCTGTTCCACGGCGTCTACCAAGATATAAAATTAAAAAAATATTCCATATCCCGCATTGTAGAACTAATCTCGCACTAAACTCCCCAATTTTACGCTTATGCAGAGAGTTTAATGCAATTAATAGTGATGTTATTGAAACAGATATTTTTAATGATACATATAACCGATTCAAACAAAAAATTACTGAATTTCAGTGATTCTTTTGTGTATTGCAAGGATAAAAAATTTCAATGTTGTATTTTTTCCAAATTCACATTTATTTATAATTTTTATTTTATACATGGCAACTCATGTGCTATGTTGAGAGGATTGCACTTTGCTTTTTTTTCGTTTATTTCTGTTCCTTACTTGTTAGTCTGATGTCATAATTAAGAATGCTGAGTTTCCCTGTTACTGGGATATATATATTAACATAGATATTAAATTTTATATTGTATTGAATATTGCATATGTTCTGTTGGGATACCAAATAAATAAAATAAAATAAAGTGATTGAAAGAACGAATGATTTCCCAATATTGTCTATTCCTTACTAAAAATAGGAAAGTGATAGGTAACGCTATGTGAACTATATAATGCTATCTCTTTCTTTTTTGATGTTCCGAATCGTCTTATCGTAGTATAACGTTTAAGTACTTCAGAGAATTTTGACTGTTAAGAAAAGAAAAGTACGTAATAATAATAGTTATTTTTGATATAAGTGCGGAAAGTTAGTCATTATTCACGAGGCTCGAGGCTTCTTGGCCCGAGCCCGAGGCGAGGGTCAAGACGCGAGACAAGTGAAAATGACAAATCCGCACGTGTATCAAACGACGTTTTTTAATACATTTGCAAAAAAACTACATTGAAAGTAAAATAAAACAGTATTTAAAAAAAAACTCACTTTCTGCTAGTAAATTAAAATAATGAAATACAACAATTAGTTAAAAGTCTATGGAAATCTAGTTCTAACGTGCTGTTTTTGTTTATTTTCTGTAATATCGGTCTGTAACCTCTTTTCTTATTATGAAGTCCTGGTACTTTTGTTTAAACTTCTTTAGGAACCCGTGCACGGTAGTGAGATACAATTTATCTGTAATACATACAACAAATATATGCATAAAAATCTCTCCTGTCACCCATTCAGGGGTAGGCAGAGACCTCCACTCGATACGTTCATTATATAGTATTTGTAAATAAATATAAGTTTTAATGACGAATGACTTACGTCACAAAGCACATAAATA